GTCCCTCTCTCATGAAATCAATAAACTTAAAAACTTTGGGGGGGGGGTGTTTACAAAGCACTAAAAATAAAATGTTCTATTCAACCGTCACACAGAAAGGCATACGGGGTCTCGGGACCCATTCGGAGACTGTTCTGTCCTTAAAGTTTGCAAATGTTAATAAATGCCAGAAATTTCTCAGAGCTTATGTACTGAAGAAAAGTCCTAAAGACCTCCCTAGTGAACCCTTAGAATCCCCAGAGAAAAGTTGAATCCAGCCACTCTTCAGAGAAGTGTCCTCCTTTCATAACTGGCCTGAGTCGGTTTGCAGTCCTTACATGCACAGGGGTGCCAGTGCTCAGCGCGCCGGGCCGTGCTACCTCTGGGCGGTGCGGCTGATGAAATGGACGTGTAACCTCACCGTTCCTACCCGCAGTGTGCGGGTGCCTGGGACTACTTCAGCTCTGCGCTCTCACCTCGGGTGTAAATAGTCTCCACGTCTCCCACTGTTTAAACCCGGTGCATCTGGTGCTCACAAATGTCTCCTTTGTTCGTCCGGCAATAATGATTCAGCTCCGTGTAATTCCACTCAATCCCATCAGAGACCCAGGTACCAATTCTGCCCTGTTTTTAATAATAGAGATTGCTTCCTAACATCCTGTTCAGCATGACCCCATTTCGGCAAGCCAAATCACGATCTCAGAGCACAGCGAAAATGAAAATGGAACGTTTGGCAAGCCCCAGGGCCCTGCAGAAGTAACTGAAGCCAGCCCTGCCCCAGCGCACCTTCCTCATGCCTGCAGCACCTTGCAGGACTGCTCAGGCTCCAATCCCGTCCTTAGCACCAGCCCCTTCCCAGTTCTGTCTTCCCTGGAATGCAGGATTCTGGAGCCAGGGCACTGGAAACCATGGCCCTGCGGGTCAGCCTTGAAGAGTACATGCTTAGCTGTTTGGTTCTTATGAACACTTTCTTTGAAAAGTTCTTTTTCCTTTAAAATTTTATCCTGGACCCAGCAGCTTGAGAATCATTCTGGGCACGTGTGCGCGCATGCCCGAAGTCCCGAGAGGAGAATGGCAGAGACGGGATTGTGGTGCAGCCAGCTTCTGTGAGGGAAGAGTGATTTCTCACTCTCCCTCTCTCTCTGTCTCTCTTGGTGAGTGCAAGAGAGCCAGTAATCCAGGCCCAAAGCCTCTGCCCTCAGACACACACCAAGGCCAAGGGTCCCCGTGGGGTCTGACCTCACGCTGGTCCTTGCTCAGTGCTCTCAGGTGGGTCTCGTTTCACCCCTGCTCACCTGGAGGTAGCAACCACTTA